CTTTGATCGCATGCATTTAATGGGCACAAAATGGCTGCTGTGCGTCAGCCAGGTGAGTGTTACAACCAATGTTCTCTCTAAACTGTGCGCTCGTGCAGTAGCCCCGAGACTGCCGCACAGAAATATCAGCCCACTGAGACAAGCACGAGATTGAACTTCAGTCAACTTTCTAGAGCAGTGGTCAACAACTGGTCGATCACGATCGACTGGTCGATCTCCAAGGCATTCCTAGTCGATCACCAAACATTTCTGTAAAAAAAACAACAACGATAAAGCCTTGTGTTCCTATTTTTTTAAAAATTGTCTTGGGCTGTTGGCGGTAGGTGCATACGATTCAGCTGCCATGCGCGCCGGGTAGGCAAACTGTTGACATTTTGAACCATTGCATGTGTCTGAAGGTACAAACTCTGCCTTCCCGGCCTACCGCTGATCAATCGGATGGCTCAGATGACCGTGTCTGCAGTAATGTAGCAGGCATTAAAAAAGCTACAGCAAAAGTTGATACTGTGAGATTTAAAATGTTTAAAACCAACGACGAGAGACTGTCAACAAATACAGCAAAGACATGCTGTTTTTATGAGTGAGTTCATGTTTAAGTTCTTACTCAGCATTGTCAACACTTTGTATTCAACACTTTTATAAGTCATAAAATGTGCGTTCTTCCTATTTCCACTCAGCACATTTGTGTGTGAGGCAGAAATAATGCGGTGCGACTCGAGTTTCGCCAGCTGGAAGACTGTGTCCATTTTTGGTCAGTGTCAGTGGAGGAAAGGGAGAGTGGAGGGATGTTGAGAGGCGGACCCTCATTTTGCTGCTCTCTCACTCCGCTGAGACTGACCATCAGATGCAGGCACCATCAGCCCAGTAAAATTAAAAGCAAATTATTTAAATGTATGGTCACTCAGCTGTGCTTCACAAGTAATACAACAACGGATCTATTACCGGTGAGATCATGAAGCCTACCTCAAATTTTGAAATCTAATTTTAAAAAATGTCCCGAATAAAAACGCATTGGCAGGGCAATTCAAGCAAAGCCAATATGCAGTGATAATGTATTGGTCCTATAGCTTACTGCACAAACCTCATTGCTACAGTACTGTTTTTAATTGGTTAATGTTGCATCGGTTTACGTTTTTTAATTCATGTTAAAAAGAAATCAGAGCGGTAGATCTCGGCTTGCATTTTGACTCCGTTATCTTGACTCAGAAAAGGTTGGTGACCACTGTTCTAGAGTTTTCCCTGTTAACACTATCAACGTTTCCCTTTACTGTGGCAATTGTGATCGAATCAACGCATTAGCCACTTTCAATTCAACATCCTGAAAAAAAAAAAAAAACCATGCAGGAGATTTTGTTGTAGGCAGAACACATCGGAGTAGGATTATATTGCACTACTCAGCCCGTACTCTACACAGACCGGTGTGGAAAAAACAGTCAGAGCTGCAGTAGGCCTATATGCAAGTAGACCATTGCCATATATGGATCTGTGCCATTTACTTTGAACTGGACTGTGTTTACAGCTGTGGTCGGGAGTAGATGCGCTTGTTTTGAGATCAAAGCAAGAGCTGCATGTAGCCACGTGTGCACATGTTGTTCATATCCTTTGCTAGTTAGTGAGTTATTAGCCCAGTTATAGATCATTTGTAGTCAGCCATAGGGGAGTGATTGCTTCCTACAAGAGCACAAAACCTGTACATTTCTAGACATCTTTGAAAAGCGAGTCGGGTGAAGAGCTTTTTTTTTTGTCTTTAAAGGGGCAGTGTTGTATTTTGAGACAGGCTTGAATAAGCTAAGTAGCCAATAGGCAGAGGGTAGCATAATTTGTCTGATTCGCTGTAATAATGGTATGGGTATAATACTGCATTTTTTTTGGTAAAGTGGTTTCTTGCATCAAACAACACAACAACCTTTTCAGTCACCACCTTGTCTGATGGACAAGTGGATAAACAGGTTAAGGTCAAGCTCTGCATGTTTTTTTCAAAAGTGTCATGGAATGTAGGCCTACATTGAACACCACACATTGGCTGCTACTGTAGGCTGAATGATAGAACAGCTATTTCCATGTTAAAATGTTATGGGATGTATTTTCTCCATTGTTTTTGATGATAGGCCACTCTGGTAGGCCTACATTATGATCAAATAGCCACAGTAGCCTACTTGACCACTGTTAAAACTAACTTAAAGCGGGTACAGCCTCAGTGTTCACAGTAAACGCACGCTGGAAGTTGCACAACAAGTTTGCGCTTAGCAGACCAAAAATTAGCTCAGTGCCGATTATTTTTTGAGGGAACATTAGTTACAACACACACACACACACACACATACACTGAGTGTGGACAGGAAGAATCACCCTTTACCTATGTAGAGATTTGAGACATTCAACAGATAAAGACACTGGATATTATTATTGGCATACTATCATACTGTGACACTGGTCCAGATAACAGAAGAAATGCTTTGTCTGCTGTTTTCCTGTCTGTTCATGCAGGTCTTAGCTTGCTGTTGTATTCTGCTGATGTAAGTGTACACACACACACACACACACACACACTTTAATCCCATTGAGCAATCGTGTTCCGCCAACCTGTTCTTCGTGTCAATGGTTTAGGTCTGTGTACACAGGAACCGTTTTTCATTTACATGTTGGCCCCGTGTAGCTCAGTTGGTAGAGCATGGCAATTGCAACGCTAGGGTTGTGGGTTCGTTTCCCACGGGGGGCCAGTGTGAAAAAATGTATGCACTCACTAACTGTAAGTCGCTCTGGATAAGAGCGTCTGCTAAATGACTAAAATGTCAATGTAAAAATGTTGAAATTGGTCACCTTTTTTATGTGATGGCGACGTTTTCCTACTGTGTTGTCTGTCTGAATGATTGGGTTTGTGTGTCTGACTGAGGGTTGTTCTGTTTCACTGTGTTTCTTAGGAGCTGAAAGACCTAACTCAACGAAATGAATGCCTTGACCTTAAAGGTAAGCCTATACTAAAACACACACACACACATACAAAGACACGCACGCACACACAGTCTTACTTTAGGTGTAACTGTGTGTCCCTTCAGGTGAGAAGCTGGACTATAAGGTGTGTGAGTCTCTGGAGGAGGTGTTCAAGAGGGTCCAGTTTAAAGTGGTGGACCTGGAGCAGACCAACCTGGATGAAGACGTACGTTTATCCACACTCTTTACTCTCTCTGCCCTCTTCTCCCGTCCCAGTTTTCCCCTCCCCTCCTCCTGTCTTCCATTTGTTACCTTCTTTCCTCTCTTCAACTCCTTTTCTCTTTGTCATTATTTTCTTCCTATGTCCCCGTCCTCTCATCCCCCCCCCTCTGTTTTCCTCTCCCTCTCTCCTCTGTCAGGATGTGTAGTGTTTCCCAGTGTCCCGTAATTACTCTATAGCTCTGCGAGTGGAAACACCATTCGAGAGGGTTGGGTTGAGAGACAGGCCGACAGACAGACAGACAGACACAGAGCTCTACTGAGTCTGACCACTTCTTATTTCCTCAGACAGATATTTGTAGGCTTGGCTCGATGAGCGGTTGAGACACGTGCAGACAGTCAGACACAGACAGACAGACAGCTCCACTGTAGACCAGAGGGACACAAACCGACGCGGCTGAGTCTGACCACTTATTTCCTCAGACAGATATTTGTAGGCTTGGCTCCATGAGCTACTCACTCATGGACAGTAAATGCATACACGTTTTGTCCATGCTTGCACACCCTCGCACAGACTATACTGTCGATCTATACTTGTGTACATTTATGCGTGCATGCACGCAGAGAGTACTGTACATGCACTCATTCTCTATCCACATACACATGTACATGCATACATAGATGCACCGACAGTACTAAATAAATATGTCACGGTACAAATGCAGGCGCACCCCCACACTTGAGTACCACACTCACTGACTGCCCTGGAAATGTCACTTAACTGACTTGGTGAGCTCACTCACACTCACTCATTAATGACCTTTGTTTTAGTGGCACTACCACGGCGTCTCCCCCCCGAGGCAGGGGGTCATTGTAGGGTGTGGGGGAGGAGAGATGGGGGGGGTTGAGATGGGGACAGTGGGTGTGCTGGACTGGATGTGTAAGGCCCTACCTGGGCGACAGAGGGAAAGGGAGCGTAAGAGTGAGTGAATGAGAGAGGCAGTGGTTGTGACCGAGCCATGGACCAACCCAGTCTCTCTGTAGTGTGTCGTACCTTCAGCGCCTCGCTTATCAGCCACTGTAATAGACTACTGGTGCTCCATTATCAGTTAGTGTTGTGTACACCAGCCAGCCATGGACCTATCCAGGACTTGTTTGTTAGTTTCTTCTTTTGCCAGTCCTCGGTCTGCTTTTGTCAGATCATTGTTTATCTTACCTCTGTCTGCTATTTATCAAGCAATGTTTGTGTTGTTGCATAATATCCCACATCCTATGATTTCTGGAGGTTGAGGATGTTCCCTGTGCAATTGTGCTGCCTAGCGCAGTCATGGGATGTTCCTAGCTGAGTCGACATCATGTCTTCATGACATATATACGCCTTGTTTTACATTCCCTTTAGTCAAGACAGCTGCTCATGATTGTTGCGTGTAGGTTTCCAGGGTAAAAGTCCCAGACCTTTGGCGTTTTGATGTCTGAGCAGTAGTGTCAGCTTCTACCAAATAGACCTATTTCTCTTTTCCTGGCCAGTCTCTCCCTCGCTCACTCACTCCTCATCCTCACTCTCACTCACTCACTCTCACTCACTCACTCTCACTCACACAAATACCAACTAGTGGTATGCTCCAGCAGGTTTCACCCCCCCACCCCCCCACCTCCCTTGAGCCGGCTGGCCGTTTCGATAGTAACAGAGATTGTGCACAACACTGTCAGCCCTTCCTCCCATAACACCTCTCTCTACTTTTTTAATAACATAGGGCAACACTTGTAGGGAATATGTGTAGGGAATATTTATAATTAATTATCTTTAAGGCCAGTGTAAAGTGTGGCTTAACATTTGATCCTCTCTAATCATGTCTCTCCTCTCTTCCTCCCAGGGTGCGTCAGCTCTCTTTGACATGATTGAGTACTATGAGTCGGCCACACACCTCAACATTTCCTTCAACAAACACATCGGCACCCGCGGTTGGCAGGCCGCAGCCCACATGATGAGGAAGGTGAGTGGTCTTGACCTCTGGGCAGGGGGTCACTGGTCGGGTGGGGGGGGTCAATGGCAGAACAGAGGATGTGATGCATGATGTTATCACCCCTATTTGATATGGATTTTCTAAATGATTTTCTGAATGTTTTATTAGTCGTATGTACAGGATACACATGGTATACACCGTCCAACAAAATGCTTACTTACAGGTTCCTTCTCGACAATGCAACAACAATAAGAAATATGAAAAGATAAGAATACGAACATAAAGTAAATGTCTCAGTAGAATAGAATAAACAATGTAGCATCAGTATAATACAGGAAGGCACAATTTATAGTCAAGTATATTTTTGACAAGTATTTAAATTGTGCAGTATTTAGCAATCATAATAAGCACGTGATGGGCTCTTTAAAAATAACACAATGGGTAGAATCCAGCAGCATGTTTAGTGTATTGAATGCATTTAGATCAACTGGATTTTGAACGTATCCTATCCCCTGAGTTGGTGAAACAAAGTGAGTCATTAACACTAAATCATATTGGTTTAGAAAGACATCTCCCATGGGCATGTATGATGATGAGACTTGCCTGCAGTCTCCACTGACGCACCCCCTGGGGCACCAATCGGATGCTCAGGCATGCAGGAGGTTTTGTGCACATACACGCATATGCTTTTTGGCTTGTGTGTTTGTGTAGCAGATTGGGATCTGTGAGACTCACTCCTCAGCCTGAAGTGTCGCCCCTTGCGCAATTGAAGGCCTTTTTCAATAGCGTGACGGATAGAGATGCTTCAGGTGGGAGGTCCTGAGTTCGAGCTGAATCACGGGGAAGCAGTACTCTCTAAGCAAGCAGCGTGACGTCCTTTACATTTGCAGCGGTACTGTACTGTGCCTGGTTGTGTGTACAGGTGTGTCTGGACATGGCTATGAATATGTCATCAACGCTGCATGGGCGTAGCACGTATTTGTTACAGAATAATGGTATTGGCTTTCAGTACCAGCCAGGTATAATGCTGTCGCTATGACGTGAGTCATCATTATCAGAGCTCTGATTACAGATTACGGGAGGTTCCTGGATTATGGAAAAGAGGGTCAGGTCACAGTTAAGCCCGAAGGAGAGGGTGTATGTGTGTGTGCCAGTGTGTGTGTGTGTGTGTGCATGCGTGCGTTGTTCCCACACCCAGGGATGCTGGGAGGATTATCCAATATATTTTCCGAAGACGTCCTCTATACGAGCGTTTGTACACACACACTGATTGTAAGAAGAATGTGTCAGTGACTCATGAGGATGTCTCTGAGATCTAGAAAATGGGGCTCAAAAATCATACAAATGAAGTGGTTTTAGGTTAGCTATCTGTAAAGCACTTAGTGACAACTGCAGATGTAAAAAGGGCTTTTTAAAATACATTTGAATCGACATTTGGTTTGAAAATGTCTGCATGTGTTTTGTCTGTCCCCAGACGAGCTCTCTGCAGTACCTGGACGCCCGCAACACGCCCCTGCTGGACCACTCTGCCCCGTTTGTGGCACGGGCGCTCCGCATCAGCGGCAGTCTGTCTGTGCTGCACCTGGAGAACGCTGGGCTCTCTGGACGACCACTCATGCTGCTCGGTAACAGGACGGGAAGAGGGGAGACAGGGAATCATCACTGTGTTAACCGATAACGAGTTTGCCTCCATTCTCACCGTCAATCATTTGTTTCTGCAATCCCTCTCTGGTCAATCTCCACTTTACAGACGGAGCTGTTTGTAAGATGAACATTGAACCTACGGGAGCTGTGTACTTGGTTTGATAACAAGCTAACGGCCTGCGGACAGCGGGGCACAGCTGGGCAACCTGCTCAAGTTCAACTGCAACATCCAGATTTCTGGACATCCGTTTAAAACCCACATACTGGACTCTGGTATAGGGATACAGCTCGCTTTCTATCATATACCAACCTCTTCACTCTGTTTCTCGCCCAGGTCCTCTCCCTGAGAAGAGGAGAGAAAGGGGGGAAAAAGGGGAGGAAAAGGGAGGAGGGAGGAGGGAGGAAGAGAGAGAGAGAGAGAGAGAGAGAGAGAGAGAGGAGAAGAGAGGGGAGAGAGAGAGAGAGCGGGAGAGGGAGAGAGAGAGAGAAGGGGAGGGCGAGAAGGAGGGAGAGGAGAGAGGAGAGAGGAGCAGAGGGGAGAGGAGAGAGAAGAGAGAGAGAGAGAGAGAGAGAGGAGAGAGAGACGGGAGAGAAGCAGAGGGAGCGCGTTCTTCGCGCGAGAGAGTCGAGCGGCTTGTCGACGCTGCGAGCGAGGCAATGCTCTTACGTAGATCGCATCTCACTGCCTCTCCTCTATCCTCTCCGGTTTCCTCGCTCTCTCTCCTTCTGCTCTGTCTCGTCTCTCTTCTCGCTCTTCTCTCTCTCTCTTCTCTCTCTCACCTTTTCTATCACTTCATGACAACCTCATAACCCAGTGTTGAGTTTTCCGTCTCGTAGTCCAAAATACAGAAATAGTTGCTTCTCTGTCTCGTTTCCTTGTAACAACATTCTCAAACCACAAATGTATTTTTAATCACAAACTAACCCCACGCTCAACCCTTACCCTTAACCCTAACCTCTCTCTCTACCTCTCCCTCTGTGTGGTGTGCAGGTTTGGCCTACGTCTGTGAAGGCCTGAAGGAACAGAGGAAAGGCCTGGTCACTCTGGTGCTCTGGAACAACCAGCTAACACACAACGGCATGGGCTACCTCGCAGCTGCACTGGTAAACACACACACACCAAAAAATTAGAAGTTTTAATGTCACATGCACAAGTACAGTGAAATGCTTTTCTTGCACTCATTTGTACACACACACACACAAATGTAATACAGTCATTAGGGTTGAGGAAACTGTGGTTTGCATGTGCTCCCTGGACAGTTCTGTGTTTGCGTCTGGAGCCTGCCTCACATCTCCCCCACATAAACTACATATAAAACAGACTATGAATCCCTATGGGTTCCCTGTGGAACCATAGACATGCATTGGCAGTTACATTGGACACCGTTCTGTACATGAAGTTCATAACACGGTCGTGGCAAGTTATACAGTTCATTGAACTCTAAAGAATCACACCCATATGGCTAATGTGACTGATGGTCAGTCAGGTGTTATTTCCAGTGATGTCAGCAGCAGTGCAATGTAACTCTTTGGTGTGCCCTTTCCCTCCCACTGCTGTCTCCCCCTGCCCAGCCTGTCTCGGCTCGTCCTATCAGGACAGAGAAGCTGAGTACAGGCCATTATCACTGATCCTGTTGCCAGGAGAACTGTGCCCAGTGCAGTCAAAATTCTGAGATAAAAACTGGGCCTTTAATTAGGCATAGTAGTGATGTCTATATCCAGGCCTGTCAGTCAGTGGGAGGATGGCTCATGCACATGGTAGTTCTTCTCCCAACAGTCCGTTTATCCTCGACATAGAGAAAGATCATGTTTTGACTGTGTGGAGGACTTAGTTAGCAGGCCTGAGGGAGAGTGGTTTTAGGGCTGGGTGGATGATATTGTGAATATACTGTATATCACCCAGTTGGCATGAAGCCTAGTCGGACCCCCAGATGGACAGGTTTGGTACGTCTGATACTTCCTACTTAGGCCTTCTGGGAATGTTGCCACATAGACACGAGATTCCGGGTCTTCGGAAAGAGCATTCCCATGACGGACTGGATCCAGATGTGCATAACACATGCTCTGGACATTCCTCTAACACTCATGCAAGAGATCCCATGACTGCATCCACTGCACTCTCATAATGGGAGAGAGACATGTACGTGTAGGCACCACGTACAATACATTGTTTTTACTATATATATATTTATTTTTTCAAAGTGATAGATACAGCCATCTGGTGCTAGTGTGTTGTACTTTGCTTCGTACGTCACAGTATATTTTCTGCCCACTATCCTATGCTATGTGTAAACCCAGTTCCTCTCTCTATCCCTCTCTCTCTCTAGCCCTGTACCCAGAGTTTGGAGACCCTAAATCTGGGCCATAACTCTGTGGGGAACGAGGGGGTCCACAAGCTGAAGGACGGTCTGATCGCCAACCGCTCGGTGCTCAGGCTGGGCCTGGCGTCCACCAAGCTGTCCTGCGAGGGTGAGTGTGCGTGGTGTGTGTGGTGTGGTGTCCTTATTTTGCTATTTACAGCTATTACAATAATTTTGGTTTAAAATAAAACACTCGTTGTGTATGTAAATGGGGCAGTTAGTGTGTGAAAAGGCATTGAGCTGAGCCCTGTATCATATCCTCTTCCCCTGTACTGTATGTCAGGTGCCGTGGCGGTGGCGGAGTTCATCGCTGAGAGCCCCCGGCTGCTGCGTCTGGACCTGAGGGAGAACGACATCAAGACGGGGGGCCTCATGGCCCTCTCCCTGGCCCTCAAAGTCAACACCTCCCTCCTACGCCTCGACCTGGACCGAGAGCCCAAGAAAGAGACTGTGAGAGAGGGGGATAGTGGGGAAGGGGAGGTGATGGGGAGAAGTACAGAGAGGAGGGGGGAATGTATGCAAGTTGTCCTTTGTAATACATTGTCAAGATGAATTGTGTTGTCCAAAGGAAAATAAATGGGAAAATTAATTTGTAGAAATGGGGGGGGGGTAGGGTTGGAGTAGACAGGGAACATCAACGTAGAAAGCCCTGATCTCTCCTAGTTCTCATCCCTCTGTGTTGTCCGTCTCTCTCCCAGGTGAAGAGCTTCATCGATACGCAGCGTTCCCTGCTGGCTGAGATCCAGAACGGCTGCAAGCGGAACTTCATCTTAGCCAAGGAGAAGGAGGAGACCGAGCAGCAGATGCATTCGGCCTCCATGGCCGAGATCGCCACTGAGGACAGAACCATAGAGGAAGAGGAGGATGAAGCTGATTCTGACGAGCATGTTGAAAAAGATGGGAAAGACAGTGAGTGTGAGGGAGGAGAGGAAGGAGTGAAAGACACTGAGAGCCTGACTGACAGCCAATCGGCAGCGAGCTCTGATGGAGTGGTGTTGCCTTTGCAGTTGGAGTCAGACTCGGACACAGATGACGATGAAGAGGAAGAGGTGGTTCTCTCTAAAGCTCCCTCCGTCTCCCCTGCCCCCAAACACACTGGCCCTTCACTCTGGGCAGCGACAACCCAACACCCCCTCAGTGCCTCACAGAAGCCCCCTGCCCCCTCTGCCCCACCAGCTACGGGGGCTTTCATTTCAGGGATCACCGTCACAGAGTCCACAGGGCCCCCCGGTACGCCCCCCTCGCCTGGCCGCTGTATTTCTGTGTCGAGCCCCGGGAGGGGCCACAAGATCTTCATGGTGACCAGAGTAGAGAGCCCCCCTGACCAGCAGCAGTTCCAGGTCCTGGGGAAGATTGGCCTGACCAAGCCCCAGGCCTCCAAGGAACCAGTGGTGTCACTAGTGAAGGAAACCACACAGCAACCACAGCCCCCTTCACAACCCCCACAGGAGGAGGTAAGAACAGAACAGACACAACCCCAGACCACGCCCACACCACTGACACAGGAGGAGGTGGCACAGAGCCTGGCAGAACAGACACAACCCCAGACCACGCCCACACCACTGACACAGGTGCTGGTCCAGAGTTCAGATGAACCACAGACAATAGATCCTAAACAGATGGAGCAGAGTCCTGTTGCACCAGAGCAACCCCCTTCAGAGGAGACCGTAGTAGAGACGCCTCAAGACCCGGCTGAGACGCTAGAACTACCATCCAACCTCCTAACCCAGCCCACAGAGGAGGAAGTAGAGGGCGTTCTAGACAGTTCACAACCTGTTCTGGCGGAGCAGAGCCCAATAACCGCAGCCCAACCATCACACACACCCTCCCTTCCTACAGAAGAAGTAGCAACCCAATCACTAGCATCACCCCAACAGACAGAGGAGATAGTAGAGACAACTACAGAGCCTCAGCAAGAACAGTCTGCTGTTGAGCAGCAGTCCACTGAAGCTGTGCTGGAAGGAAAGGAGGAGGTGGTGGTGGTTGTGGAAAAGGAGGAGTGTCAGGACCCAGTAGAAGAGTCACTTTGTGAACAAGCAGAGTCTCAAACCAACACAGAGGAGGAAGATGAGATGCAGTCAGAACGGCATCAACAGCAGGAACAGAGTCCGGAACAGGCTAGTGACACAGTTCAGCAACCGTTAGCGCCGCAACCGTTAGCACCTCAGCTAGCTACACAGACTAACACTAAGCCCCTGGGGGGTCTGCTTCTAACAGCACCACTCCAGTTACAGCCTGAAACAGTGCAGCCAGACTCTGAGCTTATGTCCCCACAACAGGATCCGGCAGAGACACTTCCACAGGCACATCAACAGGTGGCGCCAGCGAGTCCCTCGGAGCAGGGAGCCACGGAGAGTGTCGCAGAACAGGAACTATATTTGTCAGAGGAGGAGCAGCAGCAACTAACACAACAGGCAGTTCCTGTGCAGGTGGAACAGCAGAAGCAACAACAACATCCTGTTCTAGACAATCTACAGCAGCAGCCTCTTCAACCAGAGGGGCAATCACAGACCACCCTTCCCGCCGAGCCCTCGCCTGTTCCAGCCGAGACAGATTCTTCCCTGGAGGTGGAGGGCCATAGCTCTCCTCCCAAGGCAGAGGAGTCCCCAGACGAGAGCTCCACAGACAAGGGGGAGAGCGTGGGGGGAGTGGAGGAGGTGGTGGGCTCAGCCCTGCCCAACGGCCTGAAGCCAGAGTTCGCCCTTCACCTGCTGGACCCCGAGGGCCCCAAGCCTGGGCCTGTCAGCTGTGTGATGGAGCACGGTGAGTCACAGGCTCTGAGGGAACACCCTGTCTGTAGTGGGACAACAGGGGTGTGACCGACACATGCATATAGTACACACATACACATAGTACACTCGCAGACACACACACACACAGTCTGACAAAGTGCGTGTGTATTCTCCAGTGAGTGTGACAGCAGAGTTGAGCTGTGGTGAAGACCTGGAGGAGCTGTTGCTGGAGGCCAGCCTGGAGACTGGGAGAGACGCACCATAGCGCTGTCATGGTACACCTACACGAACTCATCTCCTGGATCTTTTTACAATGACACATTTGTGGTAACACACACAAAATGAGATGTTATTATTTGATATACTGTAGATCGGCCAATGTGTGCTCTCTGTTTCTTCTGCAGAGGTTCTGTAGGAGAGAGGAACACGACTCGTGCCGTCTGTGTCTCGGTGACTCGGGTTGTTGCTCCTGCAATTATTTGGTTGTCATTACCACAAACTCATCACCATCACCTCTCTATGAAAACGGAGGACCAGTTGTCATCTAAGTAATACACCTATAATATTATTATTTTTTTAAGACCAAAACAAGAATCATTGAGCTTCATCACAGCATATAAGGAATTCACTACAACTTCAACCGAAACGCACACACACTGTATTGTAAAGAACGTTTTTTTTAAAACAAAGAAGAAGAATGGAAGAAAATCACACTAACCTTTTGCCTATCACTACATTGTCAATCAGGAAACCACACTCATGCAGGTACCGGGGAGTGTGGGGAGAAAGAGGTAGAGAGAAAAAGAGAGGGGAGGGGGTTTATCACTGCTCTAACCAAAGACACAGGAACACACTCTGCTCACCCCCTGCTCCACCCCGACGTGTGTTCTTGATAGTGTCGTGAGCGTGCACACACTGACACAAAACCTTACTGTTGCTCTCTGCTGGAGGAAAGAGAATGTGCACAGCTGTGTGTGATTGTGTGGGACCCAGCCAAGAGGACCCACTGGCTTTTAGTGTGTCATTCTCTGACAATAACAGTTAGCCACAGAGGGTTTTATAACCAAGGAAGGCGTCACAGGAGAAGGCATTTGTTTTGTGTGTATTTGTGTTAGAGTTTTATTTGTCCCCCCACCTTGTAAGGGATTGCTACCAAAGTGACCGCTTTCTTCTCTGTTCCTTCCTCTCCGTTCGCTTTGGCCCCTTCAGGAATCGTCCCCTCCAGTCTCTCTCCAGCAACGCTCTGGAACACCCAAACCATCTGTCATCTGCCAAAAACACACTGTCTCAGTCACAAATTATTTTTGGTTTCCTTTAAGGATCAGATAGTGGAGTTACTCTATTCTAAAGCCTTCTGGAAGCCTGTAAATGTTGGGTAACAAAATGTCTGCCTTGGAGTAATGCCTTTCCTTACAGAGAAAGTCTACCTTTTATTTCTTATTTTTTCCTCCACCGGACTGTTATCACAGACTTTGTTATCCAGATGGATTTTCCTGTTTGTCCGACCAGATTGATTAAATGTAGTGCGACACTCAATAGGAGTATAAAGAAAAGGCAGTTCTGACTTTGTCTGTCTCTTTCAAGTCCTCCCTCTTTCCTTCAGTCTTCTGCTGGTACAAAACTGTGCCATCTCATTTCCCAACTCAACACAGGATAAATGTTGCCCTCGACTAGGTTTCATTGAATCTCTTCTTTTGTTTTGCTGCTTGGAGAAATCAGTTGTTTGTATTTATTTTATAGTTATGAGCCTTTTCTTCATGTGATTTTATTTTTCTCCCCTTCTCTCCCTCTTTTTATTAGTTATTTTCCATGGGGTTTGCTTTTAAAGATTTCCCTCCTTTGGTGTATATTTCAGATTCAAATTAGAACAATTCATTTTTTTTTGGGGGGGGGTCAGGTGTAAATGAGACTATGCTGGGTGAAGGGATCAACGGATATGGCAGTGGGAGGGGGGAGAGTGCAGTTATGAAAATAAACTAAAAAGGACGTTTTCCTAAGGCGTCAGTGGTGGTTCACATCTCTGAAAACACACTGACTGAGAGACTATCCCTGTTTTGAAACTTCACATCTTAAACACGACTGTGCTAGGTTAAGCTATGGCCACCAGGGGGTGCTGGGGCTGTTGGTGTTTTCCTTTCTAGCTATAGATATACTGTATTACCCAACAGCAGCTACTGCTCAAGACTCTTGTAGGCCAGGAGGACATTCATATGAACACAAACGGGTGGGTGAAAGTTTGAGTGAACTTACCAACAACACTGAGGACATATGTGAGCCTGAATGCCCAACACTGTGAACCTATGGGCCAGGTACCAAGGGCCCTATTCAACTGGTATCCAAACGATTCCAGGGTTAGGCAAAAGGTGCTTACAGTGCAAGAAGAATACAGGTTTGTCTCAACCGCGGGATCCTCTGGATATAGGTTTTGGTTGAATAGAGCCCCTTGTCTCAATCCCTCTGTTCTGTCTTCCCTGGTCAACCAGGTTGTTTTTCAGCCCAAATCATCATTGCAGTGGTTCCCTCCACTATTTGTAATGATTTAATTTTTTGTTATTTTTAATTATTTGTTAAATTAATCTAAATGTGCTGGTAATCACAAAGGTATGTATGGCAATTTTTTTGTTCCTCTCTCTCTCTCAAATAAATGCATGTAATGACTAATGAAGTGACTGGGAGTGTTTCACTTAAGACTGTTTGGGAACTGCATTGATTTATTGGATATTCTGCATGGAAGTGATTGGGAATTTTCAGAAAATATTTAATTTGACGGACCATCATATTTAGTACAAAGTACTGTAGGTCTAAAAGTCTGTTCTGCACTGCTATTCCGCTGGTTAGTACCATCCCATCACCAAGAAAATTAAATGCTGCTAGTGTTTCCATAATGTTGTTCTACAGTTCTTATTTTTTTGTTTAAGCGAATTAGCCACTGGCCATATTTCATTTATTGAGATGTAGAGAAGAGGAATGTATTGGTCAAGATGGCATAGACCTTAAAATGCTTTCTATAAGAGGAAGGAAATGGTATGGCGTTAACTGACAATGTCACAGCATAGCAGTTTTATAGAGACTCAAGTAAGAAGAGGTCTTTTGTAGGAGGCCTTTGGTAGTGTTTCATAGGCCTGCTCCAAGAGGTTTCTAACCTACATTTAACAAATTCTGGAGCTTTGAGACATTAGAAGCGGACTAGAGAGGGAAGGAAGGCAGGGATGGATGGATGGATGGAGTGAAATGCTAAATGACAATCACCTTTGTTGGTTTCAGGTTGGTATGATGTTCTCTGGTGACAATATGGAATAAGAATACTGTGTATCTCAATTGGTGTCGCGCTGTCATCTTTTGTTCTGAGGAGGGGATGTGACCTGGTCTGAGTTGTATGAGGCAAGGTAATACTGCTTAGTATGGAAGGAATTATGAGGGTTAATGTAAGAGGGTTACATGTTACCTGTCCGAGATCTTAAAACCAAAAGTAATAATCCACTTCACACAGAACCACGGACACAATGTGGAACTACATAACAATAGTGGAAATCTGATTTGCATACCAGTCCAAGGCCCAGTACAAGAACTGACAGAGATAGTTTGGTCAGACTAGTGACCCCTCTGTGCAATATGTGACCTTTCACCTTTCAAGAGAAGTATTGAGAGAACTGGATCTTTCATTAATGTCTGCTGTTTTCGATGCTTGCCATTTGTTTTTAACTAATTTCAATTTATTTATGAATTTCTATAATATTGTTTTCCAATTGTTCCATGTATACTGATATAGAGATGGTTCTAAAAACAACAACAGTGGGACCACTCGGATCAGCGATTGCTTACTACTATGACACGGCATACTTGAAGTATGAAGTGGCATCTTGGCCAAACATTCAGTACTATTCTGGTATGGATATTGTAATTCTCTATTATGTCAAGACTCAAAAGGTCTGTTTTTGCATCAGATTTCAGGGCATGGCATGGCTCAATCTGAACTTTCCAAAATGTGACCAAACTTTAAGATGGGACATTGAGGGGTGAGGCGGTTCACCGGCCCCCCTGAGACAGGCTCATGGGACGAGGGGATTGTGTGTGGGGTGGGGGGGGATCTGTTCTCTTTTTATTACTAATTCTGTTCTGAAGGAATTCCAGCCAATACTAATCCTACCCCCCACCCCCCCATCCCCTACCCCAGCCGCTAATATGAAGAAAGATCATGAGCTAGAGAGAGAGGAAAGGAGAGGGGCGCTAGAGAAAGCCTTAAACTTCATAAGCGGAACTCAGCATCTCCAACGCTCCCCAAATTATAGAGGGTAAAAACACGATGAAGGACCATTCTCTTTCTGTACAGTAGACACGTGTGATCTGATTGGATAGAGAGACTAATAAGGGCAGAACCTGGAATAAACTTAACTCAATACCCATGCTAACATTAACATGTAATAGCTATTTTTCCTTCGTTTCTTCCCTTTCCTACTTTGTTCTTCTTTTCCCCAGCCCAAACTGCCACCCATGAAATGGCTTAAATCCACAGTGAAAGCAACACTGAAAACTAATTAAAAGTGACCTTCAGGTCTAAGTCTGCTTTTGTCAGCTTCCCCGTTTACCTTTCATTTCAGTAAACCTAGAAGTAGTGCAGTGGTCTACTGCTCCCAGTACACCTCACCTGAAATACATTAGTATTGTCTTTAGAGCACAGGCAGACTTATGAGGTGAATCATATAAGCAATGACTGTGCAACATTGTGACCTGTGGTGTTTTGTAGATTCACCTACATCTCATAATGTATTCTTCTAAACTATATATGAAGGTAATATGTATTTTGTTTGTTTGTGTTAAAGTTTTACTGCATTTCTGGGTTTTGTGTATAATCTTGGTTGAAATAAAGGGTTTACTAATTTCCTGTGTTTCTTGGTTTCATGTTTGTTACCGACGCTTCTTTAGAGCTAGATTCATATACATGTAACACATCTCCAAACTATGGGGGACCATGCCTTCATGCTCTCCCTGACCATCTGAGAGCTGCTCCATCCACACAAACTTTAAAAATGGGCCTTGAAACCCACTTCTACAGACTGTCTTTTTCATAGCCTAGATTGCTGGCCCACTGTTGTTTTTATTGTATATTATATCTTTATTTATTTATTTTCCCTGTTAGAGTTTCTGTAATGAAAGCGCTATACAAATTACATTTATTTGTTATTATTATGTACTGTATTTGCCCCAGTTGTTGTCTTGGTGATAAATTGTAAAACAGAAACCCAATGGGCAACCTGCACAGTGTCATCCGTGTT